AATAAGGTCATAATGTTCCATATGGCTCATAGAATTACAATTATCCTTCAAGGTAAGTCTACCTCTTGTCTAATTTTCAATTTTCGCGGTTCAAAGTCATTTGAATTCGTCAAATCCGACTGTTTTTTTCTCATACTTTTAACAGTGTTCCCTTTGTTCATCCCAAACTGAATACATTACTGTTTACGGGACCAAGTGTTTCCTATTTCTCGGGCGCAAATAGGTGTCTTGTTAGCTTCTAACTCTGGGTTGTTAGAGTAAAACTTAGACTTTTGCAACGTCCGCCGTCCTTTGTGTATCTCGACTCCCGCAACTTCGTCGCTCGCTCGCTGCGCTCACCAAATTCTCGTTTTGCTCGAATAAAACTACTTGGATAAAGAAACAGTAATTACTTCACGAGTGCTATTCATCAAGTGTCTTTATTCCAGATTTTTACAACAACTGCCCCCTACTTTCGACCGGCTATTACTTGCTGTTGAGGGAACCAGATCTCTCGCAAAACGTTTGCTCGAGCTTTTGTTCTGCGGCATGCATTCTGATCTGGTCAAGCGCTGACCATTAATGCTGCTGGGCCCGGTTGTACGAAGCCTGGATAGCGCTATCCAACGGATAAATATCCAGTGGATAAATGCATTGTATAACAGCATCGACTTATCAACTGGATAAGGATTTATCCGACGGATAGCGCTATGCAGGCTTCGTACAAGCGTGACCTGGCGTATTGGGCAGGTCATTTCTGATCTTGCATTCTTGTGGAAGTCCATAGACTCGGAGCTGTCATCATCACCACCATCATCATGGCCATCATCACCACCATCACCTTATCATCACCACCATCACTATCATTATCACCAACCATCACTATCATCATTACCATCACTATCATCACCATCACTATCATGATCATCACGCACCATCGCCTCATCACCATCATCAAAACATCATCATGACGTGATCATCTTCACCGTCGCTATCATCATTACCTTATCACCACCAGCACTATCAACATCAAAACATCATCACCTTATCATCATCATCACCACTACCACTATCATCAACACCATAAAGTATCATCATGTTCACATCATCTATTAACCATCACTATCACCATCACCTTATTATCATCATCACCATCACCACTATCACTATCACTATCATCATCGCCATCACGTATCATTATAATCACATCTATTCACGTCATCGTAATCGTCATCATCACTATCATCATTACCTAATCGTCACCATCACGTTATCATCATCAACACCACCATCACCTCATCACTATCATCATCAAAACATCAATATCATCATCACTTTATCATCATCATCACCATCGTATCGTTTTATCATTTTTTTTCTTCTTTTAGTCGCGGCCAGAATCCCCTTCACGTGTTGGCTCAATATGCCAAGGAGAACGCTGTAGCCATATTTGAACTGTTCTGTCAATCAATGCCTGAATATCCAATTAATTCGCTGGATGCTGACGGCAACACCGGTATGTTATTATTCGTATAGAATCCATATTTATTTCCTTAAAAAGGTATCCAGCCTAATTAGCAATTAAGAGGAAATGTTTTTCAATAATGAGCAATAATGGCAAAAAGCGCCAAAAACTAGACTTTCGTATGAGTTTTGATCCCAATGTTCAATTAAAGTACCCGCGCACTGTGAAAACTGGGACGAGTCATCCGCCTAAAATTGGTTTCCAATTTTGTTTGCGTTATCCCATTAATGGCTTCCCCTTGTTTCCAAATCTTTCATCCAATCACAGCCAACTTCAGTGCTTCCCATTTGTTTTGAAAATGGGACATTTACATTAACGTTGCTTTCCCTTGTTTTCAATATTGCATCCAATCACAACCAACGTTAAGATGGCTTCCCATGAAAAAAAAACAATACAGTAGTTAATAGCATAATACAGGAACAAGCGTAGCTCAGTTGGTGTAGTATGCGGCTTTCGGGGGTAAAGATGTATGGTTCAATCCTCAAGATCTTTATGTAGCTTTAGCTTTGAATACTTTGAATACAGAGCACCGATGGAGGGGAGGGGTAAAGTGCGCACCGTCAGCTTCCTGAAAGACATACGTAAATGAAGGAACACTGACGTTAAATTAGACCTGTTCAAATGTAACTCTGTTTTACTTGGTTTTCCCTATTTTTTTTTCTTCAAGACTTTATCAAATCACAACCAAAGTTATATATATATATTAACATTTTTTTTATGCAAAGTAAATCAGCTCTCGTCGTTTTCATCATGGATTGGAATTTTCACTGATTTAAATTTCTCTTTTCTTCCAGCCTTATTTTTGGCGTATGTAAATGGTGCCGCTCGACTATGTCGTGAATTGCTTAGAGCAGGCGGAAGCCTCGCAACTGTCAATAAGCATGGAGTATCGATATTTAACGCTGAAGTCCCAACCAAAAAATTACTGTACTCGCTACTTGGTAAGTACTTGAACTTAGATTTTAACATCAGGGATACTTCGTTAGGCGTCGTGATGTTTTTCTTAGCATTCTCGAGCCTGTTTGGTAGAGCATGCTCTTTAGAAGTAGAGGAGAAGAACAATTCAAGTGTGGAACGAAGGCCACAGGTCCTTTAGGCACTTGCTACCCTCGCTTCCCTATTTTGTTTGTTTGGAGGCTGGAATCGGATGTTCTTTACACTAAGTGCGTTGCCTTATTAGAGGTTTGACCGTGCAGAAACTGGGTTAAGAAACGGATTCACTGAGGACTCACATGTTGAATGATTGGGAAGATTGGAGAGTCCATGATTTGGTTTGTTTCACTGTTTTCTTTGAAAGAAAAAAAAAGAAATTTTTTCCCCCTTCAAATTGTTGTCGTACCTACTGTAGATCTGTTAGATGCTGAACCGCCATGGTCTGATGGTACCAACTGTCACGAATGTTCTGTCAAATTTACAGTGAAAACACGGAAACATCATTGGTAAGTTGGCAACTGGCTTTTTTTCTAGTATTTGTAGTTCGCTCTAGAGGGCAAGTGTTAATCAGTATCCGTTAAGTTTTGGTACGTAATAGCATTTAAAAAAAATAAAGTATCAATAAATTTGCAAACATCTGCAAACAAGCGTTTGAGATCGGTACGTTGATGGACGCGCTGATGTGACTAAAGGTCTGTCTGATTTAGCTCAAAAACAGGATTTCATTCCAATATCTTATTACCAAAATGTTCATCAACTTCCAAACAACATTTTTTTGAGACTTTATTCAAAATCATTTAAAAAATGAAGTCCTTCTGAAAACACCTTTTCGAACCACATCAAATTTCAAGAGTTAGCTCATGAAATCTGATGTTACAACTCACTAACTTACACTGTGCCCTGTGATGCCCTGATAGCTGTTCTATACCTTATATCATACCTTTATTTTATCGTAGTCGTCACTGTGGTCGTCTTCTGTGTTCCAAGTGTTCCGATAAACAGATTCCCATCGTTAAGTACGAACTTCCAAAACCCGTGCGAGTATGTGATGTCTGTTTTGAGATGCTTACATCTGGAGTGAGATAGTCTTTGCGTATGGCACTTCCCTTCTCGTCTGTCATGTAGTTGCGTGACAAAGTATGCGATTTTGCATTTTGATCCGTTGTAGAAGTTTTAGAACATTTTCCTTGTTTCGACAGTCTTTTGTAACTACGCGTCTCACATCGATATTATCCATTCACAGCACTATGAATGCAGCTAGATGTCAAATCTCTCTAATAACCTTTCTCGTGTATCTAAAAAAGAGACGTACATAGCTCACAAATCTTCTACAACGGCTCAAAACGCAAGCAAAATGACGGTAATGACATTTCAAAGCCAAAAGCTGGCGCATGTGCAGACAAATCTCTCGTTTCTCGTTGCTTCGAATAGCATAAATTTCGTATAACGATAAAAGGTACAGTCGTAATCGTAAGAAACTTATAACGGGATTTGAAACGTATAACACTAGCACTGCTTGCTCAGGAATAGTCAGATAGGTGTTTAGATACCATATTTGGAATTTTGAGCTTGATTCAAGATGGTCGCTTCTATCACATCAAACTTTTTGCTGAAGAGGAAATTAACTGAATCTTACAGTGGAGCATTAGGAATATCTGTCTTTAAGTAAGTTTTGGGATTTTAATGCAGGAGAATGTGATTTACGGAGAAGAACCAATTTCTAATATTCTTGAGCAACGTACTAAAGAAACTACGTATTAATGGGTGTTACACGTTTTATCCCCTTTATGAGTTTGCCTCGGTGTTAGACATTGTTTTTGTTGCAACAGGCAAATGGAACATGCATCGAGAGAGAGTGAACGTGGTACATTCTGGTCTAGTTTTGATGTAAATATATGCTGTTTACATTAAAGCTTGGCAAGAAAACCCCGGGAATCTAAAATGCTATTCGTAGCAATAAATACGTCGCGTAAACTTAATTGCACTTATGCCATGACATCTAGTTATTGAATGGTTAGTTTTGTTGCGGGACTATCATTTGGTTCTATCCCCAAAGACCCCCTTAGATCTTCTAAAATTCAATTAAAATTAAATGTTTATCCCTCAGTTAATTAAGTGCTTCACAATCTCGTACTCAGAGTCCACCTTCCTCTCATCTCTCGTTGCTTACCAAAAGGAACATGACCTCCAAGTACGAGATTGAGAACTTCATTCCATTTTTTTTTTTGCATAACAGTGTCATAAAATCCATTGCGGTAATCACTTCACCAACTTTCGTACATCATCAGTTCACTGGTTACACACAAAGCATTTTAAAAATAGAGACTACAAGCTAATTTTAAAGGATTATCGAAATTTGAACCTTATTTAGTTAATTAGTATTCTTTTGACCTCAATTTTCCCACCAGAAAATCCTAATATTTTCAGGGGGAAATATAAAATAATAATCCAGGTAATATTCATCAAATGAAAGATTACTGAATTTATAAAAGAAATTGGTCAGAGTTTTGATTAATTAATCACAGGCGGTCAATGTGAGATGAAAGAGATGTAGGTTGTAGGTTGTCCATGTAGGTTGGACACAATTGTAATGTTTTTACATGGCAAAAAACTAGCCAACTTTTCATATTCTGCTTTAGTGGTCAAGCAAAAAAAAACGATGTGTTCGTAATTTTCCTTTTGTTTCCCTGGGACCTCGTCTCGAATTGTTTTGTGATTGATCACACATTGAAAGTTGGCTATTTATTTTCCAAGCGATAAAAGTTATATTGTGTTTGAGACAAGAGCCCAAGCAAGGCATTCTTGTCATTCTACAAAGCAATGTATGTGGATTTGTATATCGTAAGAATTAGGGAAAAAATTAGCCATTCTGTTCATAAGGAAAAAACTGGGTCCAATTGGCAAAAACCCAATTCTCAACCAGAGAGTGGCTAATATCAAATATTTTTTGTATTTAGCTTACCATTTTTTGCATGTTTGCTGCTGTTCTTTGTCTTTGTACCCAATTATTGCAGCCAATCTGATGACTTTAAGCCATTTCTACAGGCCTAATGAGTAGGATAGCTGATGGACTGAGTGTCTTTTGTTCTTCCCTATTTCTCAAAAATCAACGCTTAATATACAGATCCTCGTATGTTCTTTTGCATAAGGTAAAAAATGTCTTACCAAACTATTTGAAATAGGCCTTTTGTACTTACATATTTTCCGGGACTTAATTTTTCAAACAACATGTGAATAAAGATGATAAATAATGAAAAATCATAAATAAAAGGGGGTAATAATATTGAATTTCTGTCTTTAGTGTTTTCCTTTTCCACCTTAAAATTAACAGAATAATGGCTGCTCCGAAAACGATATAAAAATCTTGGAATATCAAGGGTGGAGAATGAAGGGTAGAGATTCAAAGTTGGAGAATGGAAGATGGAGGAAAGGGCTGAGGACAAGGGTGGAGAACAAGGGTGGAGAATGAAAGGTGGAGGAACAAGGGTGAGGAACAAGGGTGGAGAATCAAAGGTGGAGAATAAAGGGTGAAGAATCAAAGGTGGAGAATCGAAGGTGGCGACTCGAAGGGGAGAATGAAGGTTGGAGAATCAAAGGGGGAGGAACAAGGGTGGAGAATCAATAGTGGAGAATCAAAGGTGGAGAATAAAGGGTAGAGAATCAAGGTTGGAGAATCAAAGGTGGAGGAACAAGGGTGGAGAATCAAAGGTGGAGAATCGAAGGTGGAGAATAAAGGGTAGAGAATCAAGGTTGGAGAATCAAAGGTGGAGGAACAAGGGTGGAGAATCAAAGGTGGAGAATCAAGGGTAGAGAATCAAGGTTGGAGAATCAAAGGTGGAGGAACAAGGGTGGAGAATCAAAGGTGGAGAATCAAAGGTGGAGAATCAAAGGTGGAGAAACAAGGTAAGTGTAGCGGAAATCATGGCGAAAAATTCGCTACAACATGGCCGATGAGCATGCGCAGTAGAGTGCTTAAAAGTCAAAGAAAGAACAACAAAATTTAATTGAAAACCTTCCAGAATCCCGAGTTTTTTCCTCCTAGCATTTATTGTGAGAAATATTTACATTTTGCACATATCCAATATTTTTTTCCTAACAATTATCGATAATGTCATTACATTTTTGAAAGGAAAAAATATCGTCTTACCGGTTCCAATTACTTTCAAAGATTTAGCCGTTAAAACATAGAGTGAATAGACAAATTAAATGGCCGACATGCTGTTTTAYTGATTTTCGCACGAAAATCCAGCTTTCTAATAATGTAAATGAAGAATATATAGGTTTTGCACATATCCAGGTTTGAAGTTCATCATGTAAACAATGTTTTTAAACCAAAATTATAAGCAAAAAAATTCGTTTTACCGGTTCCAAAATCAGCCAAACATGAGGTAGAATA